ATTTACTACTACTAGAGCGTGTTACGATAACTTGGATACTTCACTAGCGGCTCTAACAGATATTTCTGCAAAAGTTTTTATATCGATATCTACCAAAGATGACATGCTATTGATAATATTTTTGAATTTTATTTTTTATACCGCGAAATACTTATGATAACGGTATATTAAGTTAAGCTTTGTGGATGTAGGCACCACTCCGCAAGAAGGTGAGATAGACCCATCGCTTGTTCGGAACTATCTTTTCAATCGATTTAGGCATGTTCATCCGTCTTTCTGTCTGAAGTTTCTTTATATATATATATATATATATGTGTGGCGTTAAGCTACCGATTACACTTGTGGTGCAAGGATATATTCAATTTATGCGGCCCTATACAACATGCAGGAAGACTTAAGACTTAGACTTTTTTAAATGATTTAAGCTTGTCTGTCCGTCAGTCCGTTTATCCTCCAGTGGGTCTTGTACCTACAATTCGATTTTTGAGATATTTTGATGAAATTTTGTAAGTTCATATGTTTTCGCCCAAAAACGGACACCATTAAAGAATGCTTTGGATCGAACCACTTTTTCGATCACTTTCCAAGCAACAACTTGTTTTGAAAAGTCGTATTAAGCCGAATGGTGTACTGGCATTTTGAAGAAGATCAAAGAAAAATAATAAATTCTTTGATTATGCTTAACTACAACGAGGAAATTTTTCTTCAAAATTGAGTCTTCATATAGCAATATAAGTTCTAATTACTAATTAATGACAAAAGTAGACAACGAATAAACATTTTTTTTACGCAAAAGTTTACTTAACTTGGGCATCGTGCGTGCATTATGTTAAAGACAAAAACATTAAAATGATGAAAAAGTGTTAATTTTTAATTCTCAATGAGTACAGTGGGTGAAGAATAATTAATTCTTTGCCAAGAAATTGAAGAGTGTTAAATTTTGATCATTATTAGGACGTTTTAACTAATGATATTTACATGAGAAAGCGTTTGCAGTTTACAGACGAAAATAGATGAAAAATGTGTAGGCGTTTGTTTGATAGAGTGTTTGCTTAGGACTGTGTTATTCGATCGATTCATAGCGCATAGTTCCAATTCTATAAGAAACTCTTTAGCTTGATTAGTAGAGGAAGTATTTCAAGGTAGGCTTCGTCCGAGTGCAAGGGTTTTCATCACTTTTCTTCTTTTTTTTTTAGTTGGCTAGTCAGTCAGAGTCTGTAGGCGTAACCACCGCGCAGCTTAGCACGGATTATAAGCAGAGTTGAAAATGCCGGACTACGCAAATCAAATTGACTCAATGCTGCAGAGGTATCGATGCTGCCGTAATTAGCGACAGGAGTCGCTTTATGCAACGCGCTATCCTATTACTTAGCAACCGTATCAACTCGGACTTACGCTGTCGACAAGAAACGGCCAACAATAGACAATGTATCTTATGTTACTTCCATGTGACCATTTTGAAACTTTCATCTGGAATTAAAAGCGGTCTTTTTCAGGATCTTACAAACTTCGGACGCTGTAACGTTTCTTGCTTCTTGCTTAATTTGGACAGAGCATCCCTCTCAATTCAGAAGAGAAGACGCAGCAAAGTTATAAAAGTTTACGAAAAATACCAAAGGTTGATCGAATAAGATAATATGTATATATATATATATATATGTGTGTGTGTGCAATATCTTAACATAAATTCGTTTTCCGTTATAATCTTAATAATATTATTTACTTGAATGGTTATCCAAGATTCAGTCCAAGGCGAATAAAGCTTTACTTCTTCTAGTTTATTGTTAAATAAATCCTTCAATGTCTTCGAAGATTTACGTTTAGTTCTGATGAACTTTTTTTTATATAACAATATTGCGTAAATAAGTATAAGAAAGTATGTCTCTCTTTCTTAAATGAATTTCTGCGAACAATATGTGTGTAATAACAAATATAAAAAAAAAAAAAAAAAAAAATCAAAGTCATGAACATTTTCTTTTATATAGCGAATAAGTAAATTTTGAAGGACTGGCGACAGCATTGATTAAAATGACTAACAAAAACATCTTACCCTTAAATGGAATGGATGGATGCTTAAAATAATAATATTATAAATGCCAAGTACAAGGCTAAATTAACGCAAAAAACATACCAATGACAACAAGCATTGTCAAACATATGACAAAGGCAACAAAAAAAACAAATTTACTAAATAATGCATCCCTGTACGCGTGTGTGTAAAATTTAAAAATGATGCCAAAAAGTTCAAAAGAATATAAGCACATAAGTGTGCAAGTGTATGTAAACAACGTAACACCCACATATTGCAGTAGACATACGAAATAAAGAATTGTTGCCTTAAGCATTAAATTTAAAGACTGCACCCATTCATCCGCTGCAATAGAAATTTTCCGGAAAATATTATATGAGAATTTTCTTAATACAATTTTTCTTAGTTACGTTTTTATCTTAACTTTAAGGTATTTTTCATTTTTACAAAATATATGAGTGATACTAATCAACTAATTGTCACTGTCTGAGATGATTTATACAAAAAAATTGATCGAAATCTTAAAGAGCAATGTGTTTTATTTCGGATGGCCCTGTAGATATCTATCCTTAGATTTCATATCACTGGATGGCAATGAGCTTTCTATTCTTTACTCTACTTTTGCCTCCTCACTTAAGGTTTTAATAAGCCCCTCTAGCATCATGCAAGTGGCCTACAAAAAATTGTTCGAGAAAATAAATTATAAAGAAATTGGATATAAAGCGAAAACAAAGCCAAACTAATGTGTACAAGCCCTTCTATTCGAGGCTTATAATGTATTACAATGTATTTGTACGCATGTATGAATCACCCAGAAGGACTTGAGATTTACCCACCTTTTATTATATCGATCGATTTAGAATCACTTCCTGAATCGGTTTAAGCTTGTCTGTGCGTCTGTCCATTTGTCTGCCTTTCTGTGTTGTTATCTCGTGTTCAACCTATAGTTTATAATTATCGAGAGGGACAACTATTGATAATAGTTCAGATCGAACATGTTCTCAATCGCTTTCGTTATATCGCCTTATTGTTTATATTACCAAGGTGTAATCTTGTTATCGAAAGAATTTGCAATTTAATATTTGTGTCTGAAATGAAAGGACTCAATTTTCGATGACAAAAAGAAAAAAAGAAAAAAGCATTTACTTCTGCTCAATACGAAAATTTTGCTTGATTTCCTCTTGAAGGATATAAGAAGCTCGAGCATGGCTGGGCTTGTGCAGCCTAAATGGTTTTAGATCTGTCTTAACGACATATATACTTCCTTTGTTGGGGAATAGAGTCAAAACATCGAACTGTGTTCGTTACTCATACTATATGTAAGCGCCATCAAACCAACTCCGACTGCGAAACATTTTTCTTCTCGAGTTTTTGGGCATTATTAATAATCAAAACACGCTACAAATGAAAACATATAACACTAAGTAGGCGCTTTTGCATTACACACATACTAAGTACAGCTCTTAAGTAAATAAAAAAACAGAGGATTAAAGTAAGAATAACAATATTATACGAATATCGGACATATTAAGAGTATGCAAAGAAAGTATCGAGCTTTTGAGTGATTTTCGCCTTTTAACTTATCCATTGAAGCCAACTTTTACTAGCATACTTTTAGGTAATACTGATAAATACTCGCATACTCATACTTATCTTTATCCTCAGCTTGTTTTTCAATTTTTAGATTTAATTATATTAATTTAAATTTTAATTTATACAAATTATTTTCGTATATTCGTTTGTATATCCTAATCCTCTTCCGGAGAGATCAACCTTTTATTAAACCGATCGATTCAGAATCACTTTCTGAAACGATTTAAGATTGTCTGTCCTTCTATCCGTCTTGTTTTCTTCTGTTCAACCTAAAGGCCGCAATTTTTGAGATATTATAATGCAATTTGGCACACCAATACAAGGACGAACATTAGTGAATGTGATTCGGATGGAAACACTTTTTCAACCGCTTCCCATATAATGCCTCATTTTAAAACTTCGCGACACGAATACTTTAAGCCTGGTCTACGATATCTATTGAAGAGTCACAGCCTCTCCATTGCTCTTTTCTTTCGTTTTTCGCTTTCCTAGGACATAAATACTAAACTTAACTTGCGGAACTAAAAAAACAATTTCTCATATTTTAATCTCTTCTTTTCTCTCTTTCTTTACTCTGTTGATGAATGGGAAAGAAAGTAAGCATAATCATATTATATATAGTGAGAAGAGGTGATCATGTAACATCTTAAAGGATTTTTTAAAACAGAAATAATACAATTCTTCCAGTATTAGCATTTTTCGGACTCGACGACTTCCAATTAGCAAAAAAAAAAAAAAAAAAAAAAATTGGTGGACCTTATAGTTACATACATATTTTCCCCATCTGCTGACAGATGTCTAACGTCGTACAAAGGTTAGTGACGGGTAAATGGCATTCAAATTCCAAAAGCTGTGCATATTTCCACATAGCATAACATTTTCAAATTCTTTACAATAAACGCAAAATAAGGAAAACATCTAATTTTAGAAGAATTCATTGTAGGGCGATGTCTATTACTACTACCCGCCAAGGTATATAGTAAATTTTTAAAGGATAATAAGATACTTAGTTTACGCATGAAAAGACAAACTTAATATTCGCACTTGAAAAAATTTTTGCCCCCTCACCTTCAGCAAGTAATTAAATTGCTCACCTCTGGAATCTGTTTTCTTAACATCAGCAAAAAGAAAAAAAAAAAAATTGTCAGTCTTTTTTTAGCGGCTTATTATGTTTATTTATACAGAGAGAGTGCTATGAGACCTACTACTCTCTCCGCCTCTTTCTCAAAAAAAATAAAAAAAACCCGCTCTCATTTTTTCGTCAATTTTGGAATTCTCTCTCAAACAAACGAAAACAATAACAAATTCAAAGGCTGTAAAACATATGATTTTTGTTTTCATTTATCAAATATGCATTTATTTACAGTTTGCTAGAGTTCAAAAGAAGAAAAATATGTACAAACTTCGATAAACGAAATTGCAATGTGTGAGAGAGTGAGTACGAATGAGGAGAGGAGAACATATTGTATGAATATTCGCAATATTCGCTATATTCGAAAGGTAAGTTTGCATTCATCTTTACTCATTGCTATTTATAAGTTAATTATTTAATTATTTCTATTTAATTTCAGATAACAGTGGATTGATTTTTGGTAATTTTGCGATAACAGTGGATTGAGTTTTGATCATTTTGAGATACCGTTGGAGTGCTTTTTGGTAATTTTAAAATACCAGTGGATCGATTTTTGCGTAATTTTGAGATAACAGTAGATTGATTTTTTTTTTTTTTTTTGGTAATTTTGAGATACCAGTGGAGTGCTTTTTGGTAATATTCAAAACAAAATTTTTTGCTCACAGTATTAACATCCCGGTATGAGACCGTATAGAAGTGAAGATTGAAAAGCTAAGTAAAAGCTTTTTCTTTCATCACCACTTTTACTTTAGTTGAAGGAAAAGTTTCATGTTATTATTTAATGTATGATAAAAACTTAGACCAGGCAGGCAGACAATGATGTCACAAAGAAATTATGAAACGTAAAATAATGTAAGGCAAAAAAAGCAATTCCTTAGCAAGCCATAAAACCAATACAAACACCATCAACAACGATTATATAAACAAATTTTTGTACATTTATTAAAATATTAAGAAAACATTGTGTATTCTTCAAGAGTGCAGCGTCTAGGAAATTATGCATTATGTAATAAAATTGAATATGGAGAGTTCCAAAATTAAATAGACGATTAATAGACATTTTTCTTATCTATTTTTTTTTTTTTTTTGTTCTTTCATGTTAACTTAAATTAATTAGGAACTACCTATCGAAGAAAATAACACTTGAATTTTTCTGCATAAGCAGACCAACCACTTAGGCTCATAACTAACACCCCATTGCCGTTTTTTTTTTTGTTTTTTTTTGGGTTTAAAAGGTTAAAAAAAAAAATTTTAAAAGAAAAAACCAGTAAGTCATCGTTATAGGAAATATTTTTTACCTTTTCTTTAATTTACATTTAATTTTTACTTTTTATTTTTTGCTAAAATTTAGTCATTTTTATAATTTTGGATTAATTACTACTTTTTTGTAAAAAAAAAAGAAAAGAAGTTTGATTACTTTACACTCTTTTTTTTTTTTTTTTTTTTTTTTTACTGAATTTTTTTTTTTTTTAATTTTTTAATATATTTTTTTTACATATATATACTTCATATTTTTTTATTTTTTTAATATTACAATACTCGTTGTTTAAAGTGATCGTTTTAATACGTTAGCGTTTTGCATTAAATTTGCCGTTTTCATATAAACAGCAAACAATTTTATATGATTTTTATGAAAATTTGTTAATTTATTTTCATAGAATGTACGCGCTGCCATTTCTTGTCCCGCAATGTCTTTAACGATGATTGAATTTTCCCAGACTGACGGTGGAAATTCCTGTTACAGCAAGAACCTGGGCGAAAGTAAACATACAAAATAGTAACAGTACTAATACAAATGTAAATACGAAAAGCTTTTGCAGGACTAAAAAGTTTCTTCATTATAAAATATTGTATGCCGTTAAATTGAAAATTTACAAAAAATTTTCAAAAGAAACTTTAAAAATTTCGTTTTAAATAAATACTATATGAATGAAACTTGGACGTATGAGTTACTTAAATATGCACGAAAAGTAACAAAATTAATATTAGTAACCAAATGGCCGATGGGGCAGAAGTAAAACCGGACGCTATTAAAATCGGTAGCAGAAATTGAAACCAATGTAAAAAAAAAAACGATTAAAGTTATTATTAAATTTATTTATTAAGAATTATATTATATATTAAGAATATATTATTAGTTGGTTGCATGTGTTCTGATTGTCGAAATCTATTGGTGAAAATGATGGGGTAATGCAAAGAATATATATATTCGATGAATATCACTGCTGTTGTTTGATGTGAAGAATGCTGCTGCCGAAGCCGATTAAACACTTTTAGAAGCTTACATATCCCAGTTATCAGTTTTGGATTCAACGGTTTTAAAGTGTTGATTTTTACGTCAATGGCAAAAAAAGGCCCGGAGGAGCAAAAAAGTTCGAAGACAATGAATTGCAAGATTTTCTGGACGAAAACCCACTTCAACCTCTCAAAGAACTTTCTAACAGCTTAGCAGGTAATGAATCAACTGTTCCTAAACCTTTACATATGAAGAAAAAGATCCAAAAAGAGGGAATATGGCTTCCATACGAAGTGATTGAAAATTGCGGCATTATAGTTTGCCGGACAAAAAAAAAATGGTTTCTCTGTGGCGTATTGTGACAGGCGATGAAGGGTAAATCTATTCGAACAATGACAACCACAAAAAGTCATGGATTAGTCTAGGAGAGACATCCACATCGACATCGATGCGGAATAATCATTGCAATAGAGTTGTACTGTGCACATCAGGTGTAGCGTATTATAAAATGCTAAAACCGAATATTATTATTATTATTATTATTATAAATTTAGCCAGAGAATAAATTCTAAGACTAAAGTCTTAAAGCACTAGCATCTAGGGCTATCGGCTTTTTATTAAAAAACTCTACCGCACTTGAGGTTTGAACCCACGACTATTGAGTTGCTAGTCGAGACTCTTGCCTACCCGGCCACTCAGGCGGATAAAAAAAAAAAACCGAATAAAACTGTTAGTGCAAATGTCCACTGATATCAAACATTGAACAAATTAAACGATGTATCGTTGGAAAAAAGATCAGCAATAGATATTAACAGAGATTAGAGTCTTATTTTCTTTCAGCGACCCGTCAATTTATTCCTTACAGATCATAATCTTCTTGGAATGAAAAACAGAAGGAAGAATATCGTTAAATACTGGCTTAATTGTCCCTTTCGCGGCGTAAATTAAGACACGAACCACTTGTGTAGTTTGATAAGCAAAAAAAAAACATCAACAGATTACAGCCCAACCAATATTGATTTAAAAATATTACAAATTCAAGTGAAAGTGATTCCAACCGCAGATTGACAAGTCCACACAAAACCAAATACTTCAAAAGCCATATATTTTTTTAGCTGAGTTTATTAGATTACGCATTAAAAGCAATAAGGGATCTGTAATCGATAATTTTAAGATCGGATCATTTGTTTGACTTTTAGTACTAAACCAAGGTTAAGTTATTATACTTCCAAAAGTTCGAAGCTGAAAGAAATGTCAGAACGTAATTTCAAAGGAAGGAGAAAAAGAATGCGGCAACTGTCACTTCAACACTTGCGTTACGGGGTATATTAAGTTTGTGCTGACCGCGAAAGACTGAAGATAGATTTGAAACCATTTACCGAAATGATCTAAACTTGTCTGTCCGTTTGTCCGTGTGATGGTTGTCCATGTATATTTGTGCTCGGGCCGCAATTTTTATGATATTTTGATGGAATTTGATATGCTGACGTGGTTTGGCCCAAGGACGAACGCTATTGAAAATGTTTCGAACCGTTCCTTTTTTTTTATCACTCCCAATCTAACGCCTTATTTTGAAAACTTGTTATATGGAAAAAAATTGCAATTTTCAAAAATTCTGGACAAAAGTCCATAAGCAATAGTAAAAAATAGTAACAAATTTGTTTTAATTTGGGCAATTTTTTGAACCCCCTTTTTGAACGTCCCCAACCAACCACAAAATGTATCTTTATATGGTAAAAATAGTTGACGAAGAAATCAATTTTATTAAATTCGGACCATGTACATTTGTTTTAATGAATAGCATAGCATTCAAGGTTTCTTAGGAAATGTAAAGCCTTCGTCGCCTTTACCCGTCTATATGTTCTTACTTGTTTTATGAGATCTTTTCTTCGCCACATACAATTCGATGATTACACCTTGTTTTTTTTTTTAAATCAAACCTGGCAGTTGATATAAGTGATCTGAATAATATAAAGCGGAAAATAAAAAGAAAAGAATAGAAGAAAAACAAACCAATAATTCTCGACCGACGCACTATTCAAGATAATGTTATAATTCTTCAGAAAATTTTTATCAACATTTTTAATGATATTTATTGAACATATGCTATATGGAAATAAAGTCCAAAGCAGAAATTTGTTTTATATTCTACTTAACAACCCCGTTTAGTTTATTTTATATATATATATATATATATGTACATATATACAAAAGAATTTCAAAAACAAAATACAAGAGAAAAGAAAATAAAAACCAATCGATACATATATAAACATTTATTTATTTACAAAGCGCTTCTAATCAAGCGAAACCGTTATCTCTTCAATCCGCTGAAAGAAAAGGAAAATGCTCTATATTCCAAAAACAACGATAAACGCATTACGTTTGCCTCAGTATTTTCAAAGTGTTTGTCGCTGATCGTTTGCAGACAAAATGTTGTGATTTAACCAATATCGCGTACATATATACATACATAGGTATATATCTAAATATCGTCTCGATCCATATGTAATATCTATTTATATCAAAAAAAAAAAAAAAAAGAAAATATTAATTTAAAAAAAGTGGAAAATTAAAGTGGAAATTAACAATGGCTGCGGTTTTGTTTATTATCACAATACCAACAGAAGCTGAAGAAAACCGTTTGAAAAAGGAGTTCATTGCAAAAATTAATGAAACAAAATGCGAACGAGCTGATCAGTCATCAATAGACGCTTCGACAGCAAAGATCGACGCAATAGGCGTAAAGCCACCTGCAAACGTTTTAATAACAACGGCAGCTGCAACAACAACTACAACAACAACTAATACCGCTACAGGCAAATCAATATTAACAGATGTTAATATATCAGAAGGTTCGAATAATGAAACCATTTACGAAAGCAACGCCGATAGACCAGATGTGCAATCATTGAATAGTGGAAACACAACGATTGGCCATGATATAGCCAATATTCAATATGGTACATTCCCAAAGCGTAGGAAGTCCGTAAATGATTATTCAGTGGATGTTGTAAAAACTTTAGAGAGTACGACCAGTCTTAAGGAAATGCCAATATCAGGAGTAGGCGAATATATCGCTTTCAGGGCAACGTATTAATTTGTTTTATGTTTTTAGGAGTCCGGTATACCTGCTACCCGTAAATCTTGGGAAGGCTTACGCGATTATCTCGCTTCAACAAAACGCAAAGCTCAAAAGAAGAAATCTACTACAATGGAGTTAGAAATATGTCAACATACTTGCATGGAATTGGTTTTGAAAGAAATTTTAAGAAAATTTCAGATCCAAAGTGCTGTATGGACCAAGGACGCTGACAGTAAAATTCATCAGGTAAAATAAAGAAACTAATAGATATAAAAAAAAAATTGATTCTAATTGTGAAGAAAGCGTCTACGAACACCTCGTCTAAAATTTCCTGAGATTTTTTAGCAAATTTCCCGTCTCCTTGCTATTTTGTATATGATAGTCTTTAGCAAAGCAAGATTCCTTTGTCAAATTCCTCCTTGATGTATATGAGTGTTGTTAGTTAAATAAAAATTCCACTTAAAGCCAAGAAATGTCTTTTTATAAATCGTTTCCATTGTTATAAGAAAGTTCACTAGACCTAGTCTATCTATCACTTTACTTAGGAAAAGTATAGTATAGGTTTTCATTTCACTTTTCTTAGAGCCTTCTTTAGGATGATTCCTCATTCTTCTACCCGGACAATATCATTTTGCTTTTTTTCTTTTTAGGTTATGTTGCCATAATTCGACTAATATTTCAATTTTCGAAAATCAATAAGGAATTTTATTCATCATTCTAAGTCGGATAATGATTTTATAAAAAATTTGTGGTCTTATAAAACAAAGTTAAGAATATGAACTCATGACCCCGTTCCATGTAAGTGTAAGAAGAAAAAGCAGAAGATTATTTACAATCGGTTTTAACAAAATGATCAACAATGATATCGGTTTACCACAAGGTTCAAAAATTGCATGTCCCCAGCAAGTCTAGAAAGAGTTCGAATAGTTAGACGGATAGTTATCTTCTTACACATGTTTCGACAAGCTAATCGGACCTAAAAAATTTTGCACATCATTACATTCTCTAAAAATGACCCAACTAAATCTATTGATGAACGAAAAATATTTGATCTTGGCAAAGCCAAGTTTCGCTTTATCATGTCTTTTCTTCATATCCTTTTTAGATATTCTTCACAATTGAATTTAATGAAACCTATGAAAAACTTTTGGACAATTTTAATGAATGGGGAATTGGCGATCGTGAGGGTTCTAGTATTACCGTAATGAATTGTTTAGCTTCGAAAACTTTTTCACGAAAGGAAAATAATGATGACCTAAATGCCGATGACAATGCCGAGTAATATAATCATAAATATTTACATACTTGGATAATAAATTAAATTCTCAATTTTTTTTTTTTTTTTTTTTTTTTTTTGTCGCAGTAATTTAGCTCAAAAACAAGGCGCTTGGGAACGTTTTATGAATTCGGTACGCAGTCGTTTAAACGTAGCCCAGATTGTTCGCGATGTGAGGCAAGATGCTGCTGTAACATTTGATTTTGTTGTTTTATTGGTAGCAGCAGCGTAAGAAATAAATATAAAAATATATAAAAATAATTATATTATTTAAAAAATCTTTTTGTAGAATTTTAGCTTCTTTCGGTTTAGTAGAGGATAGTACTATATTTTTGGCCTCGAGCATGCTGATATCGCCTCTTATGGGCCCAATAATAGCCGCAATTTTCGGTACAGTTATCAAGGATAGTTCTTTGGGTAAACTGGGTCTAAAAAATGAATTGTTTGGCATATTTACGGCCATATTTGTGGGCTTTATATTTGGAATGATAGTTTGCGCTATAGATGAACGCTATGGTATCGGCGAAGGCCTAACCACCGAGATGTTGTCACGTTGCGAATTGCATTCGCTAATAGTGGGACTATTTACAGCTATAGCTTCAGGAGCAGCAGCGGCAATTGGCATATTGGGTGGTAATACGGGATCGCTGGTAGGTGTTGCTATATCAGCCTCCCTATTACCACCAGCCGTAAATTCTGTAAGAGAAGACATTCTTTTAATCTTAGACTTCTAGATATTGTTTCATGTTTGGGATTTTTAGGGTCTGCTTTGGTCTTTTGCCGTTATCTATAAAATATATGAAAACGATGAATCGCGTTTTAGTAACGTAGTACCCAGTAGTATATATTCAAAAAATCAAGCTACCGAATTGGCCATTTTGGGTTCAATAAGTACTTGCTTAACCATATGCAACGTTATATGCGTTTATCTAATGGGCATATTGGTTTTGAAAATTAAAGAGATTGCACCCGTTATATCCCGCAATAATCGTGAATTTTGGAAACATGATATTAAGATTGCCAGAGATCTTAATCGAATTGGTTTCGATACAGATACCGCCATAATTGATGAATACGCCAATTTGCCGAAAGAGGATCAAAAAGCTTTAGGCATAAGCACAAGTGACTTTTTACGTACTATACATATGGATGAAGCATCATATCAAAATACTTGGTCGCCGTTAGGGGCAAGGCACCCGTATGACACCCATTATGAACCGATGAGAGAAAATTACACTACAATACATCGCATAGAAAGATTATATTCAACTATAACCCATCAACACCATCCTGTAAAGGAGAAGAGGTATAAAAATGTGTGCGAAAATTAGTTCTACTTTAATTTTCATACGTCTAAACCTTTCAGACATAGGTTCGGATTGGGGAGGAAGCCCGCAGGACGACTGGCAGATTCAAACACCTCCTATAAAGTACTTAGTGAAAACGTAAATTTTTTAATTCTATTTCCATGAAAATTTCTTAAGATTACATATTTTTTACAGCGTCCATGTTTCCCGTCCGGGTTTTCGAAGATGGCAAATATTCCTTGTGTTAATATTGTAACACCGAATACTATTACAGCCGGCTCAACATCACATTCGTTGACGCCTACCATAAACGATGACCGAAGACGACGAAAGTTTATAGTTACACCGGCCGAAGAGGATCCTTTACAATCCACTTACCCTTCAGACGATGCCGAAGTATGAAATGGCTTTTCTTGTTGCTTGATTGTAGACCTATATGCAATAGCAAAATTTATTTATTAATATTCTATATTCACACAAACCAATTACGATTCTTATTGTTGTATATTTAGGTAGAGATCTTTTCTTTTCCTTTTTTCTTATTTTATTCTCTTTTTGTTTTATTTAAGAAAATCTTCTTTTTGCGAAAATTGTCATATAAATACACAAATTTATAAATAACTTTATTTATATTTCATTCATATTCAAAAATCGACATTTGATGGGCTTTGACGATCGGTTTTAATTTGCGATCTTTGTCGTTTGAGAAATAATCGTTCACGAGCCGATTTCAGCTGCCTAAAAAACCGTAATATCATATAATTTCATTTATTAGCTTAAAGTGGCTTTACAGCTCAAACATATCACACATTCACATTAATAGATGTATCTTTTACCTTTTACGAATTTTTTCTAAAGTTTCTTCCTTAGGAGGGGCTGTTTCAATTTCATATTCCCTTATTAATGAACGCAATTTCTCCAACGCATCTGCTAAATTTAGCTGTTGTGACCGCGTTAAATCACTTTTAATCACATAGTAGCCCTCATTGGTGATTTTGTTTTGAAGCTGGAGTAAGAAGTTTTAACTCAAATTTAATATTTTAATAAATCTAAAAGATGCCTACTCCAATCATAAGTTTTTGCTTCGTTTTTTCAGGTAGCCAATTGGCTTCGCTCAATTTGAAGCGTAAATCGACTTTAGTATTTACAGTGTTGACATGTTGACCGCCTGGCCCAGAGCTGCGACTATATGTTATTTCCAATTTTTCAAGAGGTATATAACCAGAAAACTTATCGCCTGTACTTGCTGGCTGTACAACAAAATGTATACAATAAGTGTTTTGCCTCTAAAACCATCGAAGAGTTCGTTTCGTTTGTTCTTACCGGATTTGGTGTAAAAATCTTTAAGCGACTATTCGGATAAATTTTATCTAAAGACAAATCACTTTTAAAGCAAAGGTTACGGTCTAACACGACGGCTGATGTGTAAGACTTTTGAAAGTAAATTTTATTAAGTATATTTAAATATCTTGTGCATATTCTATTCATTTTATGAATTCTTTTAAATTTTTCAAAATTTTATAATAAGGCTATTCAAAACAGATGTTTCTTTTTCGGTCTAGAGTTGCCAAGTTTCACTTATTTTATTTGTATTTGTTTACCTGGCACTTATTTCTGCTGATTCAGTTAGACTACATTTTCTTTTACTTGCTAGATTTTTCAAGTTTGCATATTTGTTTTATTATCATTTTCCTCCCTCAGGGTTTGCCATAATTATGAAGATTATTTTTTTGCTTTCGTTTGAGTTTTTAACCTTCTTTTTGTTTTTTTGTAGAAGCTATAAAATTTAAAAGTGGCATATGGCAATAGGTCAAAATATCGCAAAACAGTTTTATCTTCAAAGCAATTAGAAAGATAGCGCCAATTGAGCAAATTGTAGAAACCACGCTCTTTCTATTGACTATTTTGATATGGGGAATATCAAAAATTACGGTACCATTTCCGTATTGAGTGTTAGGTTTGCCAGCAATTATCTTACGTACATCATGGTTCCAGTAATAAGCACATATAGGCTCTATTTCCTTGCAGCTCTCTTGAGCATGTAAATCCAAAAGATGTTTCAAGAGGTTGGCCTGGTTCCCAGGAATATGATTTTCGGAGCGATGCATAGCGTCCGCAAAACAATTAAGGAATAATATAATACTAGAAAAGGCAAAATACTTCGTCGAACTTATATACTTTTGACTATAAAAAGCTTTCGCAGAAACGATTATGTAAGAGGTAGGCCCAAAAATTGCGCCAAGGAGCAAAACTTTGCATATCAATTTAGAAAGACTTACTTAATGAAATTTGAGAATGTAAATTTTCTCCATATAACGACTTTTCAAAATAAGACGTGGACCGGTCGGAACTATTTTCAACATTGTTCGACCCGTAGATTGAACACAAAAACCCATGGGCAGACGGACAGACAAGCTTTAATCGTCTCAGAAAATTATTTTAAATCGATCAATATAATAAAATGTGGCCCAAGCTTAAGCCCTTTTGAGTGTTACACAGACTTAATATGCTCTGTTCTACAATTAGTGTAGGGTATAAAAAGTAACTTGAATTCGCCAAATAAGGCAAACATCAGCAAACTATATAAAGATATATTCTTTGTTAGAAATGTTTGTCATATGTACCAGCAATTTTTATTCGAAATAAAAATTTTGAATTTTAAACAACTTCGCTGTTCCGCATAAATTCATCAATGGTTATAGGTTTGCTGTCCTTTGTAGATACAGATTCCTGAATGAGTTGATGAATTAGAAAAAAGATAATATTTTGGAATAATAAGAAGGCAATTGCAGAGACAATTATTCTACATATAGTGTCCAGATTAGAAGTTCTGGACGTTTGAGGTGCAATTAAATAAGAGTGTGGAAAAGAAAAATAAAAAAAAAAATGATCGAGGAAAATGTGGCAATAAACTATTAGCAACTATAATCCATAAAATCTAATTAGTCTTTGCATTGGAACAAGAAAGCCGGATTGGTGTTGCAAAAGTACAATAATGAAATGAGCCAAAACTGAAAATGATTCTGTAATCTAATACTGTGTTTATAACGATTCTCAAACTGGATATTAGAAAAATAATTGCATAAAAGCTTTATTTTTAATTGCATAAAAGCTTATTCACATCATATTAATAAATAAACATATTTAGTATAATATGTTATTCAATTAATTCACCCTCATAATGCATGTAACAGTATTAGAAAAAATAACTCGGAAGTAGTAAGGAGCTACGTATGATTAGTTAATTTTAAAAAAGAATTAAATGGATATGTAATAGCGATAGTAAAGTTAAACTAACCGAAAATGTCACTAATGCTTTCAAAACTTAAAACTTTAGTTTAGGAGAGACACCCATTCCTGTTTATTATTATTATTATCATATTTTAGAGTTGCCAAGTCTTCAAATAAAGATTTAACCCATTTTACAGTTTGATAGTCGTAGATTTGTAGTGTTTTATTAATTTTTTCGTAATATATTGTTTTAATTTTTAATAAGAAATATGGAAACAAAAGTTACAGTTTCTTCCCAATCTCAGGTATCGTGCGTCTAATTTCAGTAACCTATTGGCAATTAACCTTTCTACTGTTTAAGGTAAAATATCCAATTAAGAAAATCATCAAAGAACGTTGTGCGGAAATTATTGCTGGAGGAAATGGAGGAGTTTTCTATAATCCCGTCCAAGAATTCAATCGAGATTTAAGTATTACCGTAATTAATTGTTATTTTCAATATTTGCTGAAAGAAAGGCAAGAAAAAATGTCGAACGGGAATAATCAAGACACTGTAAAGCAATACTCGGCCGCAAAAAAATATGAAGACGGGTTACGCATTTTAGAGGCTTTATCCGCTACCGGTTTGCGTAGCATTCGTTATGCAAAAGAGGTAGCTGGTGTTAAAGAAATCATAGCTAATGATCTTTCTAAGCACGCCGTGGAAGCTATACGTGATAACGTTAAACACAATAAAGTAGAGCATTTAATTGAAGTCAGTCATGCAGATGCCACGTATGTCATTTCATTGCAATAATCATGTCATTTTCATTGCAACAATCAATAATTTCTTTTTATTCATTGTCCACCAGGACTTTAATGTATTTATCGACAGCACTTTCGAAGCAATTTGATTGTATTGATTTGGATCCTTATGGCTGTCCGAACCGTTTTCTGGACGCAGCTATACAATCGCTTAAAAATGGCGGGCTTTTACTAGTGACGGCTACAGATATGGCCGTATTGGCCGGCAATGCACCTGAGGCGTGCTACGTGAAATATGGATCAGTACCTTTGAGAATGAAATCCTGCCACGAAATGGCTCTGCGTATTGTCCTGCATTGCGTCGAAAGTTATGCCAATCGTTATGGCAAATATTGCGTACCGCTCTTAAGTATATCAGCCGACTTTTACGTACGTGTATTTGTGCGCATATTCAACAGTCAGGCCAAGTGTAAATTTAGCATGAGGTGTGGAAGAATTCTTGGCGAATTTATTATGATTATTTTTTTTCTCTAATACACTGCACCTATATCTTCCAGTAAGCAGTCGATGATTTATCAATGCACCGGCTGCAGTACATTCAATTTGCAACCTTTGGGCTCAATTAAGCCTAATCACACGGAAACACAGCCTAAGCAAGTAAAATTTGGAATACCAACAGGCCCTCCGGTAAACACCCATTGTGAGCACTGTGGACAAAAACATCATGTAGATATAAAAATCTTCTTTAAAATATTTAAATGAAAAGGAATTCTTTAGTTAGGCGGCCCGGTTTGGTCAGCTCCGATACATGATAACACATTTGTTCAAAGTTTAATTGAGGCCATAAACAAAGCACCTCTCTCTGAATTAAGTACACAAAAACGCTTGAACGGTATGTTAACCATGGTGCTGGAGGAATTACCAGACGTACCGCTCTACTATACGTTGGACAAATTGTGTTGCGTACTTAAATTGGAAATAATACCCATTCTAAAATTTCGCACGGCTCTACTGTACGCGGGCTACAGAGTATCTTTTTCACATGCTTATAAGAATTCTATAAAAACGGATGCTCCCGCATCCGTCATATGGGATATTTTACGTTGCTGGAATAAGAGGCATCCCGTCAAAGAAGAAAGAATGATTAATGGTACCCCGCTAAAGGAAATCCTAAGTAAACCTTGCGAAAACGAATACAATTTTGACGATTTACATCCCGAAGCGAATCCGAAAAGTCGAAAGGACGCCTTATCTAGATTTCAAGCGAACCCTACTGCATTTTGGGGACCTGGAACAAGAGCTACCATCATGTAAATATTTATATATTGTATAAAAAATTTTGTAAAGAAAACCCAACCTCTTCGATTTTGAAATTACAGGGTAGGTGAAGATAAATTAGCGAAGAGCTATCGGAATCAAAACAAAAAGCAAAAATATAGACCCCAAGAAAACATTAAAGGCAATGAGCTTGATGATCAGCAAAAATCAAAACAACCCAAAATTGATGAAACACTAGGTGTAGATGAAAAGCAACAACAAAGCCATTTGGAAAGATGATACAACGAAAATAATATTTTTAATAGAATATGTGACAATCTAAAGAAATACAAATTTTATGTATATAAAATAAATAATTTACAAAATATATTAAGAAATTTAATAACGGAAAAAGTTGCCGTCCGCTGTTTGGCGAGAATAACCGTTATTAACAAGTTGTGTATGAGGTCCACTATTTATTAATTTGACGCTATGAGGGGATATCTTCTCTCTCATACCACCTAAAAGAAAACATTCAATTCTGTGAAAGAGAAGCAAGTTTCTGAAATCAGTTTTTGTACCAATTCTAAGCGGATGTCCTATTAATTCCGGCTTGTCCACTAAGATATCTTTGGTATTACGCAGGACACGAAATGTTTGCGGAGTTTTCGAGCATGTCTCTGTTTGTAAGACGGTGTCGACTCTCTCCGGAAACACTTCATTTGAATGTATGTAACGGGATTGCAATCGAAAATCTAAAGAGTCCTTCGGTATCTTATTCGTGGGTAGAAAACGTTTGCTTGCCCTCACCGAACTCAGTGTTTGATGATAAAAAAGTCGTTCATGAGGCTTCAAACCCGTGTACCACTCTTTTCGCGATTCCAAGTCGGGCGGTTTGGGCATAGGACACGCAAATTCTCCCTCTCTCTCTAGATAAGGTGCATACGAATAATTCCGCACTCTCATCATCTCGGTTCGTCTAATGTTTTTATCCCCAAAGATATCCATTCTTTATATTTTCTTACTGGAGGAATTTTTTTCTTTTTTTTTGTTCTTAAGAAAAAAAAAAACGGTTTCCTTCTTGATATTGAACAATAACATTAACTAATTTATAGAATTTGTTTATTCGTTGTCAGGCAAAAAAAAAAATGTTACTACGTTACGGATAAGATAAAGTTTTTTCCGTTTTATTATTATCTTGAAGAAACGTAAAGTGTGTAAAAGTACAAAATATGAAAGTTATGAACTAAATGGTTCGAACATCACCGCTATCTAAATGAGAAGGAAAAGATTTATCTTTATATTAGATTCAAGCCCTAAGGAGGCCTACGAATGCAGATCAAAGAATTCCTCTTCAGTCATAATTTCGGTAGAATTCGGAGGTTCTTTCTACGAAGCGCCCTTACAGTTTACGTATTTTGGCTTTGAAAATGTGGAAGGACTTTAAACAAGGTTACATTCGGCGTGACGCGAATTTTTAAATAATTTATAATGACATTGACCAATTTGAAACATTTGAACATTGCAACGATACGAGGGAAGAACAGTTCAATAAAACGTCGGCCGAGAAGGCAAAGTATCTCGATTAACACTCCAGTAGTCATGGATTTAAATTTCAAATCCGCTAGAGTTATCAATCATGATAAAATGATCTACTTTGAGACAATGGTTAGAATGCCAATTAATTGATTTTCGAGCTTAACACGATAGGCATGATGGGAATAAATTTAAGAATACATTTGTTTTTCTAATTAAAGAAAATCCTCCATTGGTTGTAACTAACCGTAATTCGAGCAGACATTCACGCTGATAAAGTGCGTATTTCTATTAGCTACCAACCTCCGCCCATTTAATTCACTTTCATCGATTGTCATAAATTAAAATCCCGTTAGATGTTGGGCATTCCGCTCACTTATTGGCAAAAGTAATTGACATTTCAAGTCTTATAACAGAATTTAGAATTTGAATCGGTTGTCCCAACGTCCATTTAGCTGTAGACGCTGAAAATTTCCTAAATTAACCACAAATTTTGCTACAAAAGGCTTTCCTATCAAGTTAATAACAATACGCACATGACCTTGCCAAATTTATCATCCTAAATATTAGTTTTCAGTTTGCAATCACATCTTGAAACAAATTAGTTTCATTTTTAACAACAAGCTTTCTAAAACAGTTAAATCTACAACAACTAACCAAAGCGCGAACATGATTAGCACGTTGACGTTCAAGTTAAAATTGGTAAGTGTTTCCAAAAACATACTTTTTTTTGTTTTTTTTATTTTATATTACTAAGAAAACAGAACTGCTATAGACGTCCTGTACATCTACAATTACACGGGATGGACGTCGACAGACGTCGTTTATGACAACGGGTTAAACCTGCTTAGGTTGACCTAAAATGTTCAATATTCAAATGTACGAAGTGAGTGCACGTCTGTTGCAAACCATTATTATCGTCTGGGCAGTGAATGTTTCTCAATTGATCAGTCAAGTTTTGTTATTGCTTCGTAGCAGGCTTCAGGATGTTTACGTAACGCACTTTAGACGAACGCTTGCAATAGACTAGTTAGTAGTTGTTCGTTTTACGGTGAATTTGTTTACGCATCTCAATGTAATTATTTATTGCTATGAATTGGAAATTTTTTTCTCATCATTGGCACAAGATCACTTCCGTTTGTAAGCTTAACGAAGAATATTATGTGATATGTTTTTTGAGTTAACTATCCCAGTTTGCGCAAATCTGAACAAAGAAACGGACGAACATGGTTAAATCAATTAAAAACACTACATATGACCGGCTATCACACTCAACACGGCTATCTTCTATGCGCGCCGACACTATAATGATCAGACACAGCAAGCGCTATAGGACGAGATGGAATAATATTGTTGTTCCACGTGACGAAGACGAAGACATCAGGTACGGTGCTGGTAGTTTATTCCAAAAGCGGGCAAGTCTTACGAGAGTTACAAGCAAATCTAACACCATCTAGCACTTGCTTTGCTAGTAAGTAAAAAAAATTGTTTTATCTCTATTCTCTCGAAAAAATAAACATTTTTTTTTTTTTTTTTTTTTTTTTTTTGCAAGTTTTCCAAATATTTTTATTTCTTTATTTTTAAAAGTGCATTTCTTTGATTATTGATTGAAATAAATTCAACCCTGAAATGGTTAAAAAATGGATTAGTATTGAAAGGATATTACTTACTTGTGCGAACCAAACATTCTCGTAAGGTGTTTTAATTAAAGGTCGATTACCTTCTTGATTCTCTTAAATATGCTTGAAGAGTTCTGAAGTTTGAATCGTTGATTACAAACTGCTGTATTAAATAGTTTAACTCGAAAACCACCTGTGCTAGATTTATTTCAGAAACAAAAGAAATCGTACGAGAACGAACCGCTACAAATATACACGAACACACACAGCAAAGAAGAGAAATTGAGACTGGTCGAGTATCAAAAAACACTCTCAGGAAACCTGCTATTCAGCAAACATACATTTTTCCTCTCTCTCTCTCTCTCTTTCTACACCAACGCCCACAATTAACACCAAAATCGCGAACCTGTTTTGTTGTTTGTACGGTGAACGCACGAATTTATGAAAATTTCAGTTTTGTTTTTTTGTAAAATGCTGCTGCCTGCTGTAGATGAAAACTAGTTGCTGGCTACTTCCGTTCGCTCTTTAAAAACCAGTGAAGTTGAGAAAATTCTGCTCTCATTCAAAATTTTTGCAAAAAAGGCAATATAAAAATATTATATTGAAGCTAGTGCAGCAGTCGAGGCGCAGCAAAAAAAAACCGCTACATGGAGAATTTTCTTATTCTTATTTGCATTAATTGAGAAAATGAACACAGTCAGTCAGCAAGCATCACCAACAACAGCAGACAAAAGTATCAAAAGATTACAGCTACAAACTCGAGACAGCAGCAACTTCTATACTCGGTACATACGCAATGTACAAGTTGAACACAGCAGTATTGTTGCTCCAACTCATTCTTTCTTTCTTTCTTTCTTTTTTTTTTTTTTTTTTTGTTTTCTTTTGTCATTTTTCTCCCTCTTAATTATTTTTCTGAACATATTTTTTATTTTATTTCCTGTCTCTGTGTGTTTTTCTGCTTAAACAGCCATCTTTCAATCAAACCGCTTTATACACCACCGCCTGCGTTATATAAAATTATTGAAAAAAATTATTAACATTTTTTCTCATTTTTTTTTTTTTTTTACATTAAAGAAGTATAGAGTAAAACAAATAAGAGAGCAACATAAAAAATGAGGTTTAAGTAGTACCGTAAGTAACAAAACATTTCGGCCTACTAAATGAGTGGTAGTAAAAGGGGCCTTAAGTGATCTTGAAAAATAAACAAAGAATTCTTTTATCCGTTCTGTTCAATGAGAACTACAATAAGAAAGAATTGTACATTCGCCTTAAAGCGAACTTTTTAAATACCCAACAACCATTCTCAAGCATATACATAACAATTTTCGTGTTTTGGAGCTCATATCTGCCTACATTATATTATTATACATTTGTGCTAAACTCCAAATTGATATCCTTTTCCCCTAATAATTTACATCAGACGATCCCCAAAGTATTTTAAAAAGAGACAGAGTCGCTAATAGCCTAAACCTTCAACCTGTTGCAAGATATTTTACACAATCTTAAAAAGCTAAAAGTAGTGTAAAAAACGAAAAAAAAAAGCCTTATAATTACCAAACGTTACTCCCGCCGTTTGACAAACTGTTCGTTTCGGAAGTGAATTAAAGGGGCTTGTAATAGTTTAGGTGAGACATATTACTTTCTGTTTCTAAATATGCAAAAAAGAAATAAAACAAAAAGAGATAAGACGCCTTATCAACATTTTCATACTGATGAGGGTACAATAAAATTATTATCCCAACATGTGGCTAACCAACCCTAACAATGTCTCCTATTAAAATGATTTAACTTTCACTTATCAAAGCCAAATGTGTAAAGTTTTCGACTTGTTTTTATAATTTTTAGTGTTTACTAATTTTGATCCATAAGGACTAACCTACTGTAGTAACTGTATATATATGCGTGAAGAAATAAACTCATATTTTTGCAAATTCGAAACGAACGGACTAAGAAGTAAACTTGCAATGTTCTTTTCAGATCATATAGTACTAGTAATATGCTTACTCTCGGATGGTGGGTGTAAACATGATGTCCTAAAGGTTTGCGCGTGTTGATATTAACATTTTATTTGTTAAATAGTTCATTAGGGATAAAATATTTAAAATTTTATTATTTTATGATAGGAGTGCTATGTATATAATATATATCTTTATAGAGATATCTTAAATTTACAATCACTATATCACTAATCGTAACTAGTCTTGTGTACAAAAGATATAAAATATAAAAAAAAAAAAAAAAAAAAATAATAATAATAATAAACAAAATGGATAAAAACACTAACCTATGACAGAATAGAGGAAAATTTCGCAGTAATAAAATAATTTGCAACTATCAGCGCCGCGTTTTACACTCAAATTTCATACACATTTATTTTTGTCCAATATTTATATAGAATATGAAACGAAATATCTTTTCACACGACTCTACAAATGTTAAATTTTTAAAGAAGTCAATAATATTCGTCTAATTAGACGGACGGTATTTTTAATAGTTAATATAAAATTGTAGAGTCTGTTAAGGATATCTCCAAATAGAGCAAGAGAACAGAATGAAAGGAGATGTACATAGGGAAAGACCGTAAAATTAAACGCGTTTACAAATAAGCGATTCTTGGTTAGTGTTTTAAATGTATTTGCCTTTTTTTTGTCTTAAAAAAAAAAAAAAAAAAAAGTAAGAAACGCAGCAAGTTATTCATGCTTTGTTTGATTTTGCAAATGTGTGATTCAAAATTAAAAAAAAAAAGGAGAACGCAATTATAAGAAATTTAAATATTTTGTTTATACCTGCTGAATTAACCAGCAACGGAACCAATCCAGCAGCAAGTTTGTGTAGGTTGATTGCTTGAACGTTTCGCTTTCCCACACATGAGCTGAAATTTGAATAAATTTAAGATTAATTTGTGACTTGTATTCCAAGCATTAACGCACCTGCTTTCTTTTCACTGGATCGTCTAAGAACGACTGCGACTACGCGACACGCTACGCCCGCCAACAGGTAGACCACCACCCCCTCCACCCAAACCATTACGACTTTGACTACGACTAACCGAACGTCGTACCGGGCTGCGCGAAAATTTATTGCGTCTGACTGGCGAGCGCGAACGAGAACGCGAGCGTGAATATGAGCGGCGTCTAGGGCTCCGCGAACGTCGCCGTATAGGTGAACGGGAACGACGACGTCCGCCACCACCACCACCACGACGATTATTACGCCGGTTATTATTAGGCGAAGTGGGGCGTCCATAACGAGCCATCTGAACACGCAACTCCCTACCATCTAATTTGCGTCCGTCCATGGCTTCCAATGCATCTTCGGCGTCACGTTTATCATAGAATCTGTAAAAATTATTTCGCATTTTTGTATGAATAAATGTGAAAATTTATTTGCTGTAACGAAAACCAATTCCATAGTTTCGAAAAGGTTGTAGATTTTTGTAGTACATTGCCTAGGACAGTTTCGTAAGCAACT